ACAGTTTCTTTGCATGTATGATTTTATATTTGAGATATCACGAACTTCGGACTTTTATTGTCACCGTATAGAAGAGTATTTAATGCAGAATAGACCTTTGTGTGGCTGTTTTAAGATTATATGAAGGTTAACAGTACAGGGTTAGCATTTCGGTAAGTAAAGTAGTCTACATTGTGTCTTCCCGTGTTACAGCTCGGAATCCACCTCCTGTATGCATCGGGGTGCCGTATGTTAAGGAATACGCTGATGCGTGCGTCAGATTGTATGACATTGATGCCACCACAACTCATCTACATGCTTGTGTCAGGGTGGAGGCCCGCATGAAGAAAATTCTGATTGCTAAATATGAACTTGGTTGCTTCAACATTGGACCTCCTGGATTAAGCAGTGGTATTGAACATCTGGCACCATCAGTAATACTTGTCTGAGCTTTTATTAGATTAAGCAAACTGTCATCGATGTTCACATTTTTATTTAAAAAAATTTCCCAATGGGCAATTTTTATTTCCAAGAATTGCCCAATACACCATACACCAGGAAGTGGTGTCTTAATCCTACATAATCCACAGTATTTGTAAATTAATGTGAGCAAAGAGGTATTTTTTGCTGCTAACAGATGTTTTTAGTTTGGGCGCAGTTGTCTTGCTGTTTGTGCTGTTTTGCATTTTCGTAACAAGTTCTCTGGAGTTGGAAAAACTTTTTTTTTTGAGTACTTTTTCTTTAACTAACAGTGGTTGTGATATTGTGTTCTTCTTCCAAGGCAAAGCTAAATAGATCCTCATATAACAAGTTTTGATCTTAGGCAGATTTAGCTGCAGGTACATGACACGACAGTCCACTTTAGACTTTAGAGAAAGCTCAGGAGCCAATCAAAGAAACAATTTTTAAATATGCATATGAAGAAAATAAAAGTTAATTTGGCCAAGAAATACAAAAATTGGACTGCAGCTGAAAGTTTTTTTTCCTGATTTGTTAGTTTGACTAGGGTAGTGAGAATAGAGAGTCGTGTATCACTGTAATTGGTTACGATTCAGGTGTGTCTTGTGTGTGGCATTACAAAAAATTATTCAGGGTTATTTTGTTCCTGTACTTGTACATGTGTGGAATTAGGATACACAGTTGTGGTCATCTTCATTCTTACATATTAAAATTAAAAAAATTGTGGTGCTGTGCTGGAATAATCCCTTGAAAGGGTGAAAAAGGAAGATCTCTGTCGAGGCTGTGATTTGTCAGGAATTGTGTTAGTGCAGGGCTGTCAATTTTGTGACTGCAAAGGTGAAGGTATGTTTTTTAGAACCATTTATTTTCAATGAGCCTTGTTGCTTAGTTGATATTACAAGCTTAAAATTCTGTTCATATTACATATGTACTGTGTTTCAGAGATGGGTAATGCTGGCAGTATGGCAACAAGTAATTCGAAACACAAAGAAATTAAGCTTAAAGAACATCAAACATCTGAGGAAACTAATGCTGCCAACTTTGTTACATTTCTAATACTAACTGTGACTGTTCTTACTGGGCTGACGGCAGTTGTAATTTTGGGTGTAATTGCGCTGACACGAAAGAAAGGTAGGTATATTGCATATGGTGGAAGTTGTGTGGGGGGGGGGGGGGTTGCTATCTCATTAAGTATACATTAATAGCATGACATTTCATGGATCTCAGCACATAAAAACTTTGAATTGTACTGCAGGTGAATGGCATTAGAATATTAGAGTGGACTTTACGTGCGATTCATACAACAACCTTTGATGCTCTGTCCATGTCTATTATGAAAGGAATCTTACGAGACAATGAGCCGCACGTGAATTTTACAGAGGAATGTAATAGCTCTTCTTCTTATCACTACTGCTTACTCCTGGCAGTCAACTCAGGGATTGCACATATCAGAAAGGTTGTGCCATGATCACGTCAGAACCCTGATGATCACCCGAGAAAATTTTGTTGGGTTACGTTGCTGCGATAGCTTCAAATCATACAGTGGAACTATATTTGTTGCCACATATCTGTGGACTCTTAACAGATGCAGCTATGAAACTCTGTACACATTCAGCTGATGGAGGACTCTCAAATTATTTAAATTGAAGCTGCAGCTTCACACTTTCCTCAGATAATTGAAGTGAAATAAGATGCAGTTCTATTATATTGTGTCCATAGGGTCTGACTTCACACAATCTTGTAATGTTTACTAAAGATGTATTTGACATTTAGTAAGCATTTTATTCATACTCTGCTTTGAAATAACCTTATTGTAGGATTCCAGAAAAGTCCTAGTCTAGGTATATGAGTTCAGAAATGAAATGAAACTTGAAGATTTCTGTCTTCTGGGTTGTTGCGCTGTGTAGTCTGGTCGATGTTAACCAACGTTTC